GGGCGGGAGCGGGGGGCGGGGGCGGCACGGAGCGCGCCCCGGCCTCTCACACGTGCTAACACGCGTGCATTTTCTCTCCGCAGTGAAGCCGACCGTGATCGACGTGGACATCTACGTCAACAGCATCGGCCCCGTGTCCTCCATCAACATGGTGAGACCCGGCTTTCCTCCGACGGAACGGCCTTCGGGCCGGTTCTCAGCTTCTGCTGTGGGTTTGGGATGCAGGCTGAGAACACGCTGACTTCCTAAGTCTGTAGCATGCGTCGGTCGTTTCGGTCTTGAAAATGGTGACCGTCGAGGAGAGCTGGTGGCAGTGGCAGCGGCCGGTCCCTCTGGCGATTCCAAAGCGTCCGGCCCCGCATTCTACACGCCGGTCACGCACACGGGTTTTCGGATGACACTTTGCGGGTTTGCAGCTTCCCGCTACCTGTGACCTTCGTATCGGGGGTGGACTGAAGTGACACCTTTGGGTTCTGAGTTCGTCGTTTCAAGAAGCGAAAGACTCGCCTTTTCGTGTTTCTTGGGGAGGGACCTCAGGTGACCCCGCTTACACGTCCGCCTTGAGTCTGACCCCGAAGCTGAACGAGGTGCCTTTTTTTAACGGGAGGAAGCGTTTTTTAACGGCATTGAGAGGCGATTTCCCCAACTGGGCAGAGCGGGCTCCAGGGGTGACCGTTGGTTGTGTCCGTGTCCTTCCCTGTCCCGTTAGGGACGTGGGGACGAGCTGGCGGGCGTCTATGGGGACACGACCGGCAGGTGCCACCGCTTTGCAGATGCGGGCGGCGGGCGGTCCCCTCTGCCAGGCCTTCCCTCTGCCCTGCCAGCTCCTGGATCCGGGGTCGTGGGGCTGGGCGGGAATGCAGTGTGCTGACTTCGGGGCGTCCTTTTGCGGAGTGTCCGTGGATGTTAAGTGACCCTTCCCAGTCTGCAGCAGCCGGTCCCTGTCCACAGCCAGGTGTTCTCAGTGCCCGGCTTTTCGCTGGCGACACCGAGGTTCCATGTAGGGGTAAAGCACAGTCACGGGGACAGAAACCGCCCTCGTCCCCGTGGACTGGAGACGGGGCATCGGCGGGGAGGTGCCGTGAACGAAAGGGCGTTTGCGCCCCAGGACCTGCGGACGGGCAGGGCCGGCTGGGTGCGCACCCCGGAGCCCGTCCCTGGGGAGGGGGCCGCTCGCGGTTCGCTGCCCGGTCTCTGCTTCTCGTTGTCACGTTTGACGTCCTTGTGTGGGTCCCACCGCACCCCTCCCAGCTTCCCGTCCCACACTCGGCTTCCTGCAGGGCCCAGAACGGGGACAAAGCAGAGGCTGGGCCCCGGGCGCCGGCAGGCCACACCGGTGCTCCCCCAGGGCGGAGCCACCGCTCCCTGTCACCGAGGGCCCGGTGGCGTCCTCCGTGCTGGGGACACGGTCGGGGAGGAGACGTGCACGCAGGGGCCTCTCGGTCCCTTTCAGAGCTCACGAGCCCATGGCACTGAGACCCTCTCAGGACCTCTGACGACTGATGAGCCTCTCGCCCCTCCCTCTGCTCGGCCCCCTCCTCGCTGACGACACCACGGTCCAGAGACAGAGCCGTCCTCGGGGCCACGCCGGGAAGCGGAGGCGCCCGGCGTCCCCGTCCCCGTCCCCGAGGGGGCAGGCAAAGCCCGTTTCCCTGTAACTCGGGTCAAACTCAGAAGATAGAGGTTTCGCTGAGCGTTAACGTTTAGGCGTCTGGAGGGGATTCACGTGAGGGTTAAAGGACCCGTGAACTCTGTCCCCGTCCATCTCCCCCTGGAACCGCCCAGCCTCCTCTGGCCTGTCACCCGTCTCCGTGAGGGGCCCCCGTGGGTGACAACGCATCCAGCACCCCGTGTCCAAGCGGCACTCGTGGGCCGTGTTTGCTGAGAGCCGGCCTCCGGCTGCGCTGGACGGGTGACAGGCCCCTGGAGAACGGGCCGGTGCCGTGGGCCCGGGCTCGGCCGCCTTGTTTAAACCCGGTGACCCTCACGCCTCGCACACGCGCTGGCTGGCAGGCTGCCCCGGGAGGTGGCTCGCTGGGCGACAGCCGGAGGCCCTTCCGGCCCTCGGAACCTGTCATCGCCGCGTGTTACGCAGCAGCCCCCAGGGCCCCGCGTGGCCTCGGAAGGTCCCCGAGACCTCCGAGGTCAGCAGGTCGTGCGTTAGCAGGCGACCCGACGCCAGGAACTCTGTGGAGTTACCGCGTTGCGTGCGAGGTGACGTGAGCATCACGCAGAGGCCTCTCCGCCGCCTGGCGCCCGGGAGGAGCACAGGGGACGAGGGACCAGGACACCCCGAGGGGCTGCACGCACGGGCTGGTGACGGGGGTGGGGAGGGGACCTCCTCCCCGCGCCAGCGCCCCGGGCTGTCCCATTGCTTCGTGGCTGGAAAGCCGAGTGATCTGCTGCCCCCGAGCTCCGTCCTCGGTGAGGGGCCCGACGCCTCGGGCCGGGCTGCTGCGTGTCCCCCTCCTCCTTGTCCCGGCCGCCCTGGCTGCGGCTCCGTCTGTCCTGAGAGGTCCTGATTGGACGTCGGTTTTCCAGGGGCCATGAGATGCCGGTTCACCCCCCGAGGCCGCGTCCCCTCCGGCCGGTCAGCGGTGCTTTGTCAGGGGTGAGGACTCGGGGACAGTTCCTCTCTGTCCTGCAGACGGAGGAGGTGGCTCTCTGTCCCTCTCACGTGTGACACCCCATGGGCCTTCACATGCTTTCTGTCGTTTTGATAAAGGGTGTGTGGTGCGAGGTTCTGGTTTCCGGACAAGTCGCAGAATAGGGACGAGGACAAAACAGACTGAGCTGCTCGCTGAGTGACCATCCGCCGGGGCCACACCCGCCGGGGGGTCAGCCAAGCGCTGCACAGGCTTCTCCTGGAGAAGGGGCAGGAAAGCGGCCTGGGAGCCCCCCAGCTTTTACCCCGGGGCCTCTGCGGGGAGCTGGAGAGGCGGCCGCAGCGTCCTGTGGCTTCCTTCTCTTTCCACATGAAGTCCTGGTCAATTTAGACGTGTCGCTCTCAGGTTTATACCTTTCAAGAGCAAAGTGCTCTCTGTGGGAAGTGGCATTGGCCGCCTCCGCGCAGTCCCAGAAAGGGACTGACTTTGCCTGACACACCTCTGCAGCGTCGCTCGGTGGGAGCTGAAGTAAATGACGGTGGCGCTGGCTGTTTACAATAAACGTCAGGTTTCGGGGGGAGCCCTTCGGCCGTTTGCAGCTGGTTCCGAGATGCCCCTGTCCCCGACCCTCGCTGGAGCCGCAGGTCCTGCTGAGGCCGCAGAGGTTCACGCAGCCCGTCGGGCACCCTCTGAACACCGGATGTCACCGGTTTAATGCACCACGTTCGTCCCGGCCTGTTCGCGACGCCTCGGTGGCCTTTTTTTGTGCGTGTCTATGGCTTTTAAAGGTAGATCCGGGCCACCGGAAGGACTCTCAGGAAAAACGCAAACACTTCGGTTTCTTGGCAAATTGTAAAATAGTTTTCAGTCCGAGTCCCATCCGACTCACAGCGTAAGTCTTCCTCCAATGACCTTTACGTGTGTTTCTCCCGAGCATTAAAGAAAAATTAACTCTGTGTTTTACCACCTGTCAGAAAGATGTCTTGTTCCTTTCTGCCAGTCTCCTTTTTACCCCAAATTCATTATTCTTGAACGTTTGTGGACTTGAATTTTAAATACAGAATGTTCGACTCACTGAACGCTTAATTTTGTTACGGATTCGATTATAGATCATCTTTGTCATGATGTTTTTTTCCATCGAGAATAAAATGAATCCTTATTTAAAAAAAAAAAAAAAAGAGCCGCACACGATGTAAAGATCTTTCATCCTCCCGGCGGGTTTTAGGGAAGCACTGTGACGGGGCGACAGCCTGAGGGGACCCGGGCGCGTCTCCTGGGTCCCACCGCGCTGCGTCTGGGAAACCCGTTTCCTCCACCTGCCTCCAGCACAATCCTTTCCCATCTCCTCCTGTTAAGTTCTCCCAAGCTCTCGGAGTGAAGAAATGTGTGATGTTTATTTAGAACCGAACTCGCACCGTGAGCGGAAATGTCGGGGGAGAGGGTGACGGGGCAAAGGCAGACGCCAGCGCGGACGCACACGCGGGGGCCCCCGACGGCGAGCGCGGCTGGTGGGGGGGCCGCCGATTTGTTAGCTTCTCCCAAGAAAAATGAAAACGCCGATATATTTATATAAACATGAAATAGTCCTCGATTTCTAAATTCCAAAAACCCATCAGAACATGTGACAGCCCCCTCCGCCTTCCGCCCGGCTGAGCCGTGTCCCCAGCAAGGGGACGTTTTGTAGCCACACGAGAGGGCCGGGGGCTTTGCGAGGACGCGTGTGTCTTGGAGTCGATGGCCCGGGGTCCGCGGGGACACATGGAGCAGGCAGGGAAGGCTCGTCCCCTGGCGCTTCGGCCCGTGACCTCCAGACTCGGGGACATCAGTGTCCGGGCGCGCGAAGCCACCAAGTGTGTTATTTTGCGATGACAGGGCACTTCCTTATGGCTTCATTGGCTGTTTCCTGCGCTGACCTCGGTGGGGAGGGGGCCGGAGGGAGGGGGCGAGACGCACGCACTGTCTCCCGAGACCGCCGGTGGCTTCCTGGGCTTCGCGGCCACCCGCTGGCCGCACCTCGATCCGCCGCGGACGGCTCTGCGAGTCAAAGGCGGGACGCGTCCTCGGCGGCCCCGCGGCGTTTCAGGCGGGGCTCAGAGAGCCGGGTGTGCGGCGTGGAGTGTGTCCGCAGCCGGACACGCACCGGGGCAGCGGGCCTGGCCCCTCGGCTCAGTCGTCACACCGTCGGATGCTTAAACGCGTGCCACGTTCAAATCCACCAAGGGCTCCCACGGGTTCCGACCGCCCAGCAGATGGCGAGTAAATCATGTGTCGCCTTGACCGGGCCACGAGCGGTGCAGACGCTGGGTCAGACGGGATCCCGGTGTGTCTGGACGAGATGGGCATTCGCCTCTGTGGCCTGAGTCCAGCACGTCGCCCTCCCCAGGGGGTGGGCCTCATCTCATCAGGTGAGGGCGGGCTAGAGCGTGGGGCTGACCCGCCCACGAGGAAGAGAATTCTTCCGGCCCAGTGGCCTTCAAACTGGGACATCGAGCCTCGATGCCTCGAGCCCGCAGGCCTTCGATGAGATCTGCGTCTGGGCGTGGCC